GAATCATTTTTTCAAGGCTACTGTCTGTTTGTTGTGCAAATAAATGGTGCTTACATTAGTAGAGGTTAAAAGGTTATTCAAGTAGGCTGAATAAAGTCGTCTAAACATCTAGAGAAAAAGGACATGGCTCAGAAACAGCCCTTAACGTGTATAATTATTTCACACTAGGCCAAAACATTATAATATTATTTCATTAATTTTAACGTGTTTATTATTTTCATAAAACTTTTGTGAAATTATCAAACTATAAAAGTATAAAAATTGACTTCATGTCTGTTTCAAAAGGAAAATGTTCCGTTTTACAAAAATAAATCAACAATAAAGGTGCAAAAAAAATATTTGTGTAAGTATACCGAGATAAGCAATATTAATTCCAAACTCCTAAAAATTGTGAGATATTTGGCCCTAATTTTTATTATAACAAGTCACTGAAGGCCTAAAATAATAGATTTTATTTTTCTGATCTGGCTGTAGACAAGCAAGCTCATTAATCCTTTGATTTTTGAAAATGAACGAAATAAAACTTCACAGATTTCCTGTCAGGCCCACGATGATAAATTATTTGTATTTATTTTCGCTTTAAAAATACTTTTTGTGAAGTGTTAATCAGAGAAATGGGAGGAAAGATTCTAAGAAAATGCGAAATTGATGGCTCTGTAAATAATTGACTTCATGACTGTTTCAAAAGGAAAATGTTTCGTTTTACAAAAATAAATGAACAATAAATGTGCAAAAAATCTTTTATCAATGGTAACAAGGTACGGCCTGACAACGGCCCTGACGGTCGTGTCGAATTTTCTCTAGCCTTTCTTAAGCTGCAAGGCAGCGCCATCTCAATGTCGTCTCTCGTTACTCACAATGTCAAATGAATACCTTTACAAGTAGTTTAGTTATATGTATATACTAGCTGACCCAGCGAACTTCGTACCGCCCTAAAAAAATAGGGGTTGTCCAGCGGACAAAATTGTGAATCTAAACCATTCTCAGATCCCCTTGAACACACACAAAAAATTTCATCAAAATCGGTCCAGTCGTTTAAGAGAAGTTCAGTGACATACACACTCACAGAAGAATTATATATATAAAGATATTTTTTAAGCAAATTTACTTACATAAAAAATACCCTATAATTTTGTGTGGGTACTATAACCCGTACCCTTTATCGAACGCATTATCGAATTCGAATAGTTGAATTCGATCTAGATGTACTTCAAATTTGTACTGATTTTTAGTTCTCGTTACGTACTTTAGAGGCGCCGCTGTTCAAGTTTCTATACAAAATTTGACAATGACATTTCGGACTTGCAAACTATTCGAATTCGATAATAGTTCGTTCGTGTTAGGAGTACCGAGAGCTCCTGCTGTATAATGAAATAATATATTTATGACTAACAGAAAAATAAAACAAAAACATATAGCAAAACCTTTCTACCTAAAACCTCACACAAAATAACACTCTAGCGTCTAAGACACACGGTTCAAATCCGCTCACCGGTTTTCACAACTTTGCCAGCCACATAAACGCTTTGCGACGTGAACCTTTCATCGCGTCTTTGGCTTTCGAACGCGCCTAGACTTGTGGATGGCAGTTTATGGTAGTCTATTAAAGAGAACTTTTCTGGCGTGTTTGTGACAGTCATCGACCTGTACGCCTGGGTCGTTCTAGAAGCATTGAGAAAAAAACTGAAAGGTCTATAATAGTGTTGGGTAGGACACGACTTGAAAAAGAGTTTGTAAGAGTAGCCTCTTTTTTGTACTGAACCAGTACAATGTCCCACTTCAAATGAGGCGAGGCGTACTGAAGCTCGGCAATACATTTGAAGTGAAGAGTACAAATATGACATTGAGGCGTACAGAAGCTCGACATTACGTTTGTGTACGCGAGTAGCACCTCCTCTACGCACTATCAATCTTGCTGGATCCAGCATGCAGGACAGCGCTATACACGTTAAACAGATAGAGATACAGATGGATAGTGCGTAGAGGACTTAAATGAAATGTCATGCCTCGCTCTCCCTCAGTCAGACTTACGAAGAGTGAGTGAGTAACGAGACATTTAATGTGAAGTAGTACATTTTAAAATTTTGAGCCGCTCTTACATTTTGACGTCATGTTCGGGACAAATGTACCGCCTCTTGTAAGTCCTACTCAACACTAGTCTATAAGTTAAAGAAAATTAATACAAGTATAGCTACAGCAAAAGATTTTCTTTACCAGGCTTCAGACAAATCCTGTAGTAACAGTGATTTTTTTATAGATTTATATAGGTAAATACTGACAAAAATTTACTGTTACCCACAATATATACTTCGAGTTTTACTAAAACATAATTTCTTATTGTAAGCAAACCAATTATAAAACCCGCGGCAAAAAGCTAGTACAAAATAAAGATTTTAATTCACCGCGCAATGTAATTAGGTTCATATAACTCCCACAATAATTAGGTTTTCACAGGCTAACAAGGTCATATGGTCTTCCAAATGTTTTATTTTGTTATATCACATATCAATAAATAAACTCAAATTCTACAACATATCAAAGAATTGCACGATATAGCTTTTCCCAATTCGCCATTATATATAAAATATGCTTTTAAAAAAAACAACAAGAAACAAGACGCACGACCACAGAAAAAAATGATCGTAAAAGAGACATTTGTGTTCCATTTCAAGTTTTTTATGTGATCAAAAGTAATACATATTTCTAATTTGGCATTGTAGACATTTTGAGGTAGTTTCTTTACCAAAACCTGGTAAAAACCTCCAAAAATCTATGTGACAGATGTTCAATCCATAGCTTAGTTAAGGGTTAAAAAAACACTCACCTCGAAGACTTTTTCGATTCATCACACTCCAAGCTCGAAGACGAGCTGTAGTTCCGGAACCGCTCAACAGATGGCGCTGTTTTAGTTATCAAAATGTTCTCGGGCGTGTCGCAAATTACCTCCTCTGAGCATATAAACTTCCTTTTTGCTGGCAACTCTTTGAGGAAAACCTCGTCGTTTTCAGAATCAGTTTTCGCGCCACTCTCGCGTAGCTCACTTATTCTCTTCTGCATCAGACCAGTTTTGTTTGTGGACGGAGTAGAACTTCTACGCTTGGGAAATGTTGCCATGAACCGTATCAAGTTCTCCTCTATAATACTCGTGGGTGAAGCCTTGTACGGCTTTTTCTCGACTGGCAACTTTGGGATATCCAAGCATTGCAACATGGACTTTCTTTTCAGTTCCACCTTCATAGGACTGGAAGCTAGGCTTTTCGTCATTCGTGGAGGTATTCTTTGCTCTCCAATCATTTTGAAAGACGAAGTTTTAGGGGTGTTTCTTTCAAAGGCGTGCTCTTTTTTCCAAAGGAAATCTAAAAAGCCGCCATCTTTTTTTTCGTGTTCGGATGTCGGCGAATCTGTGTCTTCTTGGTCTTTCGTCATTATGTCTATGGTTTCCATAAATTGAGCCCATTTGGACAGCTTTTTTGGTTTTTGAGGTTTAGCAACTTGGTAAAACCCTTTACGGTCGAAGGAATCGGTCCTTCTCGGTGAATAATCAGATACGGATAGCAGAGGGATGGGTGAACTACCCGAAGATAGAACTAGCGATTTTGTAGCGTAATACGGTGTGTTAAAGTGCATTTTGGGATGAGAAGGCAAATATTGTAAAATTAGTTTACCTTTTCAAATGGTTATGCGTTACGTAAGAACAGAAATCCATGTTGGAAATGTTATTAGATTGACGGGCTGCTTTTCAATAGAAGAAATTTGATGTAAAATAAAATACATGAATTTTATTCTGAGTCTTATAAACAAAGATAAAAGGACGAAGTCAAAAGTTCTTAATACAAAACATTAGACTAGAGAATAGTTCTTGTGTACATTTGTTGTGTATTACATTTGGTTGCTAGCCCGAATACGAGTGCCAATGGAATTCGAATAAACGATAAGCGTAAATGGACGGAGTCGAGTACGCCCGTATTCAGGTAGATTTCCTTTTGTCTACCCGACACCGTCTTCCAGCCCGTATTGCAGTGTAAATATTGCTTCGGGTGCCCGAATTCGAATAATATCTTTCCCGCACCCGAACGGGCTAGCGATCAAATGTAATAGGGCTATTAGGCGGCCTTTGGACAGACTGCCAGTTTGCTGGCAGTCAAGTTATGACTCATGGAGGTTATAGAGAAGGAGAACGATCGCTACGTACTAAAGCATTATCCCGCCTGTCCCTGAAAATTTGTAGAATTTATAGTTCATTTTTATGTATCTGTGAAGTTAGCTGTTTATGGGTCTACTAGTAGATGAAGTTAGTTGAATAATATACAATTTTTCTTCGCGGCATTTGTCATTTCGAGGAGCTCGATGGCGCAAGTGGTTAGCGCGATCAGCTGCGGTCGTTGAAGTTAAGCAACTTTCGCAGTGGTCGGTCATTGGATGGGTGACCAAAAATTTACTATCTCGAGTTCCTCCGTGCTTCGGAAGGCACGTTAAGCCGTTGGTCCCGGCTGCATCTGCAGGCGTTAGCACCCACCAATCCGTACTGGGCCAGCGTGGTGGGTCATGGCCCAATCTCCCTATTACATCCATAGGGAAGGCCTGTGCCCCAGCAGTGGGGACATTAATAGGCTGATGATGATGATGATGATTTGTCATTTCATATTAGCTTTTATTGAGACAACTTATCGATCGCAGCGCCTCACTTATTTTGTCCATATTTCTGGGACACTATTTACTACAGCGATCGTTCTCCTTCTCTCTAACCTCCATATTATGATTGATAGATAAATCTGTCATCTAACAGTTTCAGTATGACTTTTTAATCGTCATCCGTTTTTAAATTATATATGACTGCTCGAATTAACTATAGACTGCATACGCATATAATAGCCGCCTTAGATTTCCAACAATTCAACATTCATTAGTACAAGAAACTCAAACTATAAGAAAGTTAATACGCGAAAATATCACTTATTTCCATTGCATACGCTTGGTTTTTCATTAAACACATAACTTACCGTGCTCGTTGAAATGCTTTTCCAACTCTTCGTGGGATATATTGGTTTGTGTGGTGGGCGTGTCTGAAGGGACTGTCTGTTCGGGCCGGGAGCGGGAACATCTGTTATCAAAGTTAAAAGTTAAAAGTCAAAGTCATACATAGAAAAAGTAGTCTTTGAACATACACCCCTGGGTATGTTATTTTTTTATAGATAGGTCCGACAAGTACTAGAGAACTCGATGAAAGAATAAAGGAACTCGATGGCGCAAGTGGTTAGCGCGTTCGGCTGCGATCGTTGAAGTTAAGCAACTTTCGCGGTGGTCGGTTATTGGATGGGTGACCAAAAATTTCCTATCTCGAGCTCCTCCGTGCTTCGGAAGGCACGTTAAGCCATTGGTCCCGGCTGCATCTGCAGTCGTTAGCACCCACCAATCCGCACTGGGCCCGCGTGGTAGGTCATGGCCCAATCTCTCTATTCCATCCATAGGGAAGGCCTGTGCCCCAGCAGTGGGGACATTAATAGGCTGATGATGAATGAATGAAGGTCCGACAAATGACTCCACCCCACCTGATGTTAAGTGGCGGTGAAGTCCAGACGTGAAGATAGCTGATACAGCAGTTCTACCTGCCACACCAGCCATCCTCACCCTGCCGGCCTGCATGTTGCTTCTTCACGCCTCTTTTAAAGGACCCCAGGTTGTAAGAGGGAGGGAACACGTGAGCGGGCAGAGCATTCCATTTACGGATAGTGCGACAAAGAAATGAGTCGCAAAATTTCTTAGTACGCGTTGGAATTGTGGCCACAGTTAGACGGTGACAACGTAGGTCAGCGCGCGTGGTCCTCTGAAGGAAAGGGGAAGGTGGAATAAGAGAGAATAACTCCTCAGAACACTCGCCGTGGTACAGACGATAGAACGCTTATGCTTTAAATGCAAGAGCACACGGCAGATATATGGAAAAGTTCCAAATTCTAAATAAATAAATAAATTCGACGACCTCCGTGGCCGAGTGGTTTGCACGCCGGGTTTCATGGTGTCGCCGACTCGAGAGGTCCCGGGTTCGAAACCCGGTGGAGGCAGATGTTTGTGTGATGATTACGAGCATTTGTACTCCAGTAATGGATGTTTAATATGTATTTATATAAAAATATTCTTATATATGTACAGTATATGTATTCTATCCGTTACCCTAGTATCCCATAACACAAGCTTTATAGTGCTTACTTTGGGGCTAGGCTAATTGGTGTGAGTGTTGGAAATATTTAATTATTTCTTTAAATTCACTAAGCCTCACACTTTTACAAAATGCTGCCATAATCGCTATTTATAATGGTAGAACGATATCTAGAGCCAAATTTACAAAGTATTTGGTCTAACAATCTTTAAAAATGTGAAGTTGCGTTGCGTTATCCTATCATGAACTAACAATAGTTCATGATAGGGTAACGCAACTCAAATCCATCATAACTACATAGAGAAAAGCGAAGATTTAAATAAAAGAAAACAATTATTTTTTACTAGAAAAAAAATCCACGCGGACCAGGCAGCGGACGGGACTCGAACCCACATCCTTCGCTATCCGGGCGAATGCACTGACCATTATGCTACCACGGCCCTATTAGCCGCGTCGAAATTTTCCTAGCCTTAAGCTGCAAGGCAGCGCCATCTCTTCGCATTGTAGGTAACCCACAATGTCAAATGAATACTTTTTCAAGTATAATTATAAGTATTTTTTTCTAGTAAACTTTTCTTTAGATTTAAACATCTAGCAGTTAAATGCTTAAAAAAAAACATAATTATTTTTTTAAATAAAACTAGTTTTTACGGGTTAATGCACGAAAACTTTATTTATTTATTGACGTTTCGTAGTCTTTACAGGCTACGTCGTCAGAATAAAACTTTTATTTAATTTGTCGAGCTACCTTCGAAAGACTTTTATTGAGCGTTTGGTTATTTCATTGTTCGATTTTTAAGTTTTATTGTCTATGTATGAATTTATTATTTAATTTACTTAATAAAGTACTTTATTTAAAATTCTTGTTTGTAATTTTGAGTTTATTTATTTGACCCTAACTACCGTAAACTACCACCGGTTCCAAAATTGGGAGACCTTCCTGAGAAGAACCGGCGAAACAAACTCAAGAGTGGCTTTCTATCTCCTTCTTATGAGTGATGTGCGTGAAAACCTAAGAAACAAATTATTTTTTTCCTTGATAAATTCCTTAATTTACTTCGAAGGTCAGTTACAGAAAATAAACCCCCATTAACCCTATCTTTATTTGGCCTCGTTTTAAAGTTTAATGTTTCAGGAAGTTTTTAAAAGCACTTTGAACTCAAAATCCCCCCATTTACATTCTTTTTGATACTTTGAAAATTTGTGTGTACTGAGCTCAAATCGTAACTTTGAACTTTCGAACCAATTCTAAGTAGATTCTGCAAGGCCAAGATAATCTATAAGTTTTAAGGTGCTAGGTTAGACTATGTTAGTCTGTTATCACAAAAAAACTGAACCAGAAACGTCCAACAGAATGAGAAAAATATCGAAAACTGATGTTAGGGAAAATTACGAAAAAAATCATTAAAAAAATTATAACTCGAAGACTACGCAAAATCGTAGAACATAAATGGGGGTGATTTGGATACTCCTCATCATAAAGTATTTAAATTTTACGCTTGAACGTCAACTTCACGGCCACCCTGTATATTAAACATCCATGACTGGAGTACAAATGCTCGTATTCATCACACAAACATCTGCCCCCACCGGAATTCGAACCCGGGATCTCTCGAGTCGGCGACACCATGAAACCCGGCGTAGAAACCACTCGGCCATGGAGGTCATCCAAAAATGAAGACGTGCTGGGGGGAAACGAGGTGCGCTGGTGGGCGTGCTCAATGATGAGGAGTTCCATAGCGCAGGTGGTTAGCGCGTTCGGCTGCGATCGTTGAAGTTAAGCAACTTTCGCTATGGTCAGTCATTGGATGGGTGACCAAAAATCTTCTATCTCGAGTTCCACCGTGCTTCGGCAGGCACGTTAAGCCGTTGGTCCCGGCTGCCTCTGCAGTCGTTAGCACCCGCCAATCCGTACTGGATCGCGTGGTTTACCATGGCCAGCCAGCACTCCCTATTCCATCCATAGGGAAGGCTTGTGCCCCTGCAGTGGAGACATTAAAAGGCTCATGATGATGATGGGGCGTGCGTTGCGCCGATTGTCTCTCCAGTCGTACCCATGCGCAGCTATCCCCCCAGCGTTTTGTTCAGCGCTAGAGTTACCTGCCGCGACCTGTATGAAGATATATTTACCTTAACATAGCATTGGTGCATCTCAGTGCCAGCTCTAGCCCGTCGAGCCAGCAGTGACCGGCCGCTTGGGACGGCGCGCGGAATATCAAATGCGCTGTGGGAAGCGGCTGTACCACTGCGCCTGAACGGAAAATACAAAAATTCCCCTTAAAAACACTTTTAGATCGGATGAAAACCTATTATAAAACCGCCACCGAGCCCGCAAGGAATCCAAAAGTTCAAGAAAAATAGCAAAATCTATATATATATATATATATAAATCAATTGCTGTTCATCAGTTTCGCTAAAACTCGAGAACGGCTGAACGGATTTATCTTATCTTGGTCTTGAAATGTTCGTGGAGGTCTAGGGAAGGTTTAAAAGGTGAGAAAATGTGGAAAAATTGCGAGGAAGATGGTAAAAACGTCAATTTAATTTTTCCATATAAACTGTTCTATCTTCTTTCCTGTCAAACATTTGACGTTCGTCCCTTTTGGTACGGTAGACTCGGGTCCGTAAATTTTTCCAAATTATTTTAACCCGTACGAAGTACGCGGGTCAATTAGTATATAATAAATCATTTTACGACTCTATTTGTGTCAAGTATAATGAGAAAAGGTCTTATTCTGACACTTCATATGGCTAATGTTATGCTATTATATGGCAAGGGCTATGCTCGGCGTTTCTCTAAAGGATCGCGTCAGAAATGAGGTAATCCGACAGAGAACCAGAGTTATCGACATAGCCCACCGGATTAGCAAGTTGAAGTGGCAGTGGGCTGGCCATATTTGTCGAAGAACCGATAACCGTTGGGGTAGACGAGGTCTGGAGTGGAGACCGCGTCTAGGCAAACGTAGTGTAGGACGTCCTCAGGCACGATGGAGTGACGATTTGCGCAAGGTGGCTGGCAGGAGCTGGATGCGAGTAGCCCAAGATCGATCTGAGTGGCGTGCATTTGGAGAGGCCTATGTCCAGCAGTGGACTAAGATGATGATGATGATATGGCTATTCATATTTTGCTATTTGTTAACTTGACATCAGTCTCTCCTTTTCACTCCCTATAAAGTATGATAAGGACATACTGCTGTCAAAATGACAAATAGCAAACACGAATAGCCAAATCATGATGGTGATTGTCGTGGAAGCGTGAGGGTAAAAAGGAAACGAGATTGGTCTTCTATAATGCAAAAGGTTAATTGAGCACAAACAAAGTCAGCAATGAACTGATTTTTTCTAGGGGAAAAAGTGTTGCCACATTGCAGATTGTAATTATGACTTATGACATACAACGATTTGTATCTAACGTTCAGAAACTTAATTTATGCGTCGTTTATCCTAACATTAACAAATCAAGATCTTAAGTGCCAGCAAAATGACAATAGGGTATTTTCCAAAATTTTGAAAACTGCTTATATTTAAAGATTGGGACAAATGATTAAACAGAAATATAAAAATAAATTAATTAACGTCTTTTTTCTCCATTAAACCAATTAAAATTGATTTTATTCTTAATGGTTTTATTTACTGCCAAAACGACGTCAACTTTGTAAATACAACAACACGAACAAAATCGTGGCCGAAACCTGTCCAAAAGGTACATTGGATGAAAAATAATATGAAGTATTATTTAAACATTCGAAGACACCTTTAATGCATAGTATATAAGTTCCTAATTTGAACGCATGCGTCAAAGAGTTATGACAGTTCGAAATGCAAACTCGTAAAATTTTATGAATTGTTGCTATAGGTGGAAGAGTATAGACTTTATTTCTTTGACTGTACGCGCAATTCTGAATGCGCTGTTAGCAATATAGCAGGTACGGTGCGCGAGGAAAAGAGACGGCTATATTAGCCAAATAACGACTATGCATTTGAATATCACAAATATTTTCTATAAAATCAGTTTATAGTAAGTATTATAACAATTTTGATGTGTAACATCTTTCCTCTCGCTTTTGTGCAATTTGTGGGAGTGATTACGTGAAGTGGGACGAAAGTGTGTAACAGGAAGTTAGGGAAGCGCGCGCTATTTGATTTGATTTTCGAACATAATGTTCAAATGGCTTATTCCTTATATAGTAGGTTTTTTTTTTTACTTATAAAAGGTGAGGTTTCAAATGTTACACATCATACGCGACTACTGTAAGGCTTGCTAGTTTTTTTTTTTTTATATATATATAGCCAGGTAGGCAAATGACTCTACCCATAAAATTTCATACAAAAGCGTTAAATTAACAATCATTGTGTAGATACCTGAAAAAAGGATACTATACGAACTATAAGTATTTTATTCGCATGTTTTCACGGAGCTCTGCGGCGTCTGACTTTTCAACGGTCCGCGCGTGACTGTGAACCAAGAAGTGCTTGAGTGGAGTTCAAGCACTTCTTGATTGGGACACATTTTGAGCGCACGTGGTGTATCTAGAGGTCTTTAATATCGTTGATTTCATAGTCTCACCTATAGTCTCGTTGTGCGGTCCCCTAGGCGCCCAGATGCTCTGTTCTAGAGGGTGATAGAGCTTGAAGCAGAACCCGTCCTTCTTGCTTGGTCTCTCAATTACTTGACACGAGGTCAGCAACACTGTTCCCACCCAGTGGCTGCTCTATGGAACGAAATGAAAATAAAATGTACTACCACCAATAGGGTATTTGACAAGTTTTAGAAAACGATCTCACGTCATTGGCTAATGTTTATGGAGTCCGTAAAAAGTGGATATTCATCATTCTGTTGTGTATTTCAGTAAAAACAACCAAATCAAAAACTCCATTTGCAAGTTGCCGCGAAAATGTTTTTCTGGACAATATGGCGTCTTACTAGTGTGTGACGTCACACGACTGTTATGAAAACGTCAAACGATACAATGTAATGTCACTTTAACCGGAAGTTTACTTGTGTGTGACGTCATTTTAGGCTCCGCCTATCCCTAGCGTTTTAAGACACGTGACAATAGATAAGAAAACTATTATCTTTTTCGAGGGTTTTCAGTAAAATTATGACTATTTTTTTTTTGTAAAAATAGTAAAAACCCCTGCCAATATTCATTCTAAACACAGATGCTAACAATTGGCACTTTATTTTTAATACTTTCAAATTCCCTATTCAGAGGGTTCAAAACATAGAGGTATAAGCATAGAGTAGGGGAGATATAGACTCTACTACAAGTGGAAGTGTCCCTCTAATAGAAAGAGAAAGAAGATGAGAGACCGCTACCTTTCTCTCTCTAATCGCGCATGCGCATTGGCAACCATAATTGGGTGCATTGAGCAGTGCATTTTTCGACGAATAGGTTTACAATGCTTTTTTGTTATAATTATTATGCGTAAAAATGTGCTTAATTATGTTGTAGTGTGTTTTTATTGGTGAAGACCTGTAATTGGCTTTCTGTTGTTATTTAAGTTATTATTATCTCTTATCTATTAGACAAGTCCGTCCGTCCGTCCGTGGTGCTGTTTCAGCGGCCAAACCGTAAGAGATAGATATAGAGAATGTTTAAGTTATAAGTTAAGAATAGTCTGATAAGACTACAAACCGGATGTGAGTAACGTAGCACTTCCGGTTTTCGAGAAATCACGTGATTTCTATTTCAAACAAAACCACACAAAATCTCCGAAGTTCTCAATTAATTAAATACATTTTTTTTTGGTGAACATTTGGTTCACTGGTTTGCTAGATTTTATTAATAGCTGTTGATCTCCCAAAAAATAAATAAATAAATAAGTAAGCATCGTACTATTTCGATGTGATGCCATTGGATGCCATGCGTCACAAGAGAGAGAAATAGCTAGCGGTCTCTCATCTTCTTTCTCTTTCTATTAGACGTACAGTTTTAAAGCCGCCTTCAGCACTCTATTCTTGTACCTCTATGGCCCATAATGGCGACAAATTAATTTTCCATAGATAAGCCTATTAGTCTAAGAGCCAGTGTTCCGCAGGCTTACGGTATAGTAACAAACTTCATATTAATGCTAGTTATACTAATTCATCTGCCGTAGATCAAATGGTGGTGGCGAGCCTAGAAGTCGAAAAGCATGAAAATCGACTTTCAAAACGTGTTCACAGCATGTCTGCCGTTTTGATGTCTTAAAATATATGTAATGTCATAAGAGGAGCTCGATGGCGCAGGTGGTTAGCGCGTTCGGCTGCGATGGTTGAAGTTAAGCAACTTTCGCAGTGGTCGGTCATTGGATGGGTGACCAAAAATCTTATATCTCGAGCTGCTCCGTGCTTCGGAAGGCACGTCAAGCCGTTGGTCACGGCTGCAACTGCAGTCGTTAGCACCCACCAATCCGCACTGGGCCCTTTGGTGGGTCATGGGAAAATCTCCCTATTCCATCCATGGGTAAGGCCTGTGCCCCAGCAGTGGGGACATAAATAGGCGTCACGCATTTCAGTTTCATCTTTTCCATTTACATCTCTTACTGGAGTTTGAATATTGAAACTGGCCGAAAAAGTTTAGTTAATGTCGTAGGAATAGTTTATATACATACTTACTTATATGCAACCTCTAATATTTCACGTCCATACTTCCCAATCACAAAAGCTGATTTCGGATATACTGTACTTCCAGGGCCCAAAAGTAAAAACTTTACAGTTTTGTTGGTTGTAATTTCGCATTTTTGTTGTTAAAAAGGTTTCTGTTAAGCACATTATTAAAAAAAAATGTCACACTTATGCACTGGTAGTTTTTTAGAAAAAAAAATTGAAATTTTTTACTTTTCTTATCAAGTGGTGATACTTCACACTAGGTTACGTTAGGTTAGTGTTGTGACCATAACGCGCGAGTCGAGCGAGCAAAGCGAGCGTGCCGCGGCAGCGGCCGGCGAAGCGCCAGAAAAAAAAATCTGTTAAAAAGACCTTTTCTACAAAAAAAATGGTTGCCTGTAAAGTCGGTTTTACGGGCGAAGATTTTACGTGACAACGTCTTTTTCTCGGTAGAATATTTATTGATATGAATATAATTAAATTGCACAATAGGAACAAGGAATTGAATGAAAATAAGAATTGCACAAATTTTAACTATAGAAATATATTTTGTTTACTAAAACATTGTACATGTAAACTTAAACTTAACACGAGAGACTCATCGTAACGTTACCGAGCGTTACACTTTTTCATAAGTGACTCCCAGCCGCAACCTAATTTAAGACGTTGTCACGTCAAAAAACAAGTATCACCTTTTGGGCCCTGGAAGTACAGTTTTATCCTGATTCCCATTCTCTCCAATTCGTCGCTATATTGCCGTCTTCCTCCATTGCAGCCGGCTGTTGCAACATCGTACCCATTGTACTTTCGGATTTTACACCGCGCTGACTTTTTGCGACATTCTTAATGAAATCTACCACTTTAAAACCATTTTTATTGCAAATAAACCACACCTGACACCATGTAATATTTTAAAGAAATATATATTTTAAATAAATCAAACAACCATTTTTAGCATGTTTTTTTTTTTGGTTACGTTCTGCCTTTTCAGGGAAGGCAAGGGGAACAATGCCCATACAGCCTAGTCTTAAGTTAAATTATTCTGTTTTTCTTTTTACATTAGAATATCGGTGTGACGCATTCTAATGTTTCTTGAAGTGTTTGGCACGAAGCCAGCTCGATACATGGCTTTTTCGATAAGCTTCTGTGAGGTAGTCAATACTACAATAAAATTCTCACGTCCACTTGACCGGAATAGCGTATATTTTGAAGATTCTACTAATTCTTCAGTTACGCAGACAGTTGTAACACACAATCACACCAATTTTATTTCACAATATCCACTATGAACGAATTAAAGAATAATTAAAATAAGACGCCAACCACACTCGATGAAATCCCGTCAAAAAACTCTTTTTAGCATGTCTCACATAAAGTGACGTTTATTCAAATTCTTTTAAATACTTACTGTATGTACAGCCAAAGAGGTTGCATATAAGTAAGTATGTATATAAACTATTTCTACGACAGTTAACCTACCTTGGCTTTAGGACTTTTGTACAGCAGAAGTAGTCCAGGTTTTAGCACGCACCATAGTTTGGTCCAAGACTTGAGCGACCCACGGACCTGGAAAAAGAAAGAAAAAAACTAAGAAATAAATTTTTATTTGACTTCCTTCGTGGCCGAGTGGTATGTACGCCGGGTTTCATGGTGACGCCTACTCGAGAGGTCCCGGGTTCGAATCCCGGTGGGGTTAGATGTTTGTGTGATGAATACGAACATTTGTTACTCCTGGATTGTAGTCATGGATGTTTAATATGTATTTCTAATAACTATACAACTTATATATGTATTCTATCCGTTACCCTAGATACCATAACACAAGCCTTACAGTGCTTACTTTGGGGCTAAGCTAATTGGTGTGAGTGTTGGAAATATTTATTGTTTTAAGCATCCTATTGCTAGATGTTTAAATATATAGAAACTTTTACGAGGATAAATTCCGGGCAGCAGACGGGACTCGAACCCGCACCCTTCGCTATCCGGGCGAATGCACTGACCAAATTTTTTATCCCAGAAATCATCCTTTATCCAAAAGGATTTAAAAGAGGTGGAAATTTGTATGGGTAAATTAAGTCTATTAAACTACGCAAACTACGAAAAATAGATAATATAATAGAATTTAAAGTGGAGCCCTATGGCGCAAGTGGTAAGCGCGTTCGGCTGCGATCGTTGAAGTTAAGCAACTTTCGCAGTGGTCGATCATTGGACGGGTGACCAAAAATGTACAATCTCCATGCTTCGGAAGGCACGTTAAGCCGTTGGTCCTAGCTGCATCTGCAGTCGTTAACACCCACCAATCCGTACTGGGCCCGAGTTGTGGGTCAGGGCCAAATCTCCCTATTCCATCTACAGGGAAAGCCTGTGCCCCAGCAATGGGGACATTTATAAGTTGATGATAAAACTGTACCCTTAGTACGAGTTTTACAATTACGAAAACTATGATAGTTTTCGTGAGCTCGCACTCGTACTAAGGGTACTGATTTTATTGTTTTAGTTTCAATACAAATAAACAGTGTTTAAATTCTATCATTAAATCATTTGCGTCTTCTTAAATTTTAAGTATATTTGGTTAGTTTTCATCAAAATTGAATGGAGAAACATAATATACAATTACGAAAACTATCAAATAAAACTAGTTTTAACGGGTAAATGCACGAGACTTTATTTATTTATTGACGTTTCGCAGCCTTTTCAGGTCTGCATCGTCAGAATAATGATTTTTTATTTAATTTTGTCGAGCTACCTTCGAAAGACTTTTATTGAGCGTTCGGTTATTTCATTGGAAGATTTTTAAAATTTTATTGTGTACGTATGAATTTATTACTTAATTTAGTTAATAAAGTACTTTATTACCCTTAACATTTAGGGGGATGAAAAATAGATGTTGTCCGATTCTCAGACCTACCCAATATGCACACAAAATTTCATGAGAATCGGGAAAGCCGTTTCGGAGGAGTTTAACCACAAACACCGGGACACGAGAATTTTATATATTAGACTAGCTGTCCCAGCGAACTTCGTACCGCCATAAAAAATAGGGGTTGGTGGTAGAAGGGTGAAAATTTAGGGTTGTATGTATTTGTGTATAATAGAAGAATTTTATATATTAGATATAGCTTGATTTAACATAAGAAGAAGATAGAAAGCCTCTGCCACGATGCAGACCTGAAAAGGCTGCGAAACGTCAATAAATAAATACAGTTTCGTGCATTAACCCGTTAAAACTAGTTTTATTTAATGAGTGATGTGCCGTGAAAACCTTAGAGACAAATATACGAAAACTATGATAGTTTACGTGAGCTCAAACTTGTACTAAGGGTACTGTAAGAAGTGCCATCAATTACGCTTACCTTCAGCCAATCAGCGAGCACCACCACAGAAGGATCCTCTATGGAATGCAACAGGGCTGAGGCTGCTCTCTTCTTTTCTTTCCTGTAGTGTTGCCTCTGCGCTTTGTAACTCTCTTTTCTAGACAGTGCAGTCGATGTAGCGCGAGAGATCCCACCCACAGCTGTTTCCGATGACTGGAAAATTTTCGCTAACAATAACTTCTGCAGGAAACAATCGAACATTTTGCTCGCATTGCATTTTAAACCAAAACACTGATGAATAGAGTCTATATTGTCTTGCGTTAGTTCTAAAAATATAGGGACCCCCTAGCGGGCGATTTCCGATATAAGTTTGTTAAGGAAGGCGTATTTTTTAGTTATTCGATTTCGCGAAATTTTTAAATATTGGAGACACTTATTGCAAGTTTAAAATACGTCATTATACGTGTATATTACTTAAAAATATTGGACCCAATGGCGGTCGGTTTCGGAATTACAGAAGTATACAACTTGATTTCGCCGAAATTTGCAAAATAACACATTGTTGACAAATTTGCGACGTTGAAATACGTAAGACGTGTATGCCAATTCACTACCGTTTTAAACTATCTTAAACACGTTCAATTCAAGGTTTATATTAAAGAGATATTTTATTCGTCAAAGACTTTTATCAATCGGGTTTTTTTTATCTGCCGAAATATCGAGAGATAGCACCATATAGCATTTTAGTGCACCAAGTCAGATAGGGTAAGGGCTTGTATATTATAATTTATTGTTTAATTTATGATCATTTTGATGTTTTATCAGCAGTTAGATTTAAATTTTAAGACATTAATAGGGTATTTGGCAAGTTTTAGAAAACGATCTCACGTTATTGACTAATGTTAATAGTCTGGACTGGAGAATATGGAGAAAATATTCATCATTCTGTTGTGTATTTCAGTAAAAATAACCAAATCAAAGACTCCATTTTCAAATTGCTGCGTGCGAAAACGTTTCTCTGGACAATATGGCGTCTTACTAGTGTGTGACGTCACACGACTGTTAGTAATACGTCGAACGATACAATGTCATGTCACTTTAACCGGAAGTTTACTTGTGTGTGACGTCATTTTAGGCTCCGCCAATCCAAAGCGTTTTGAGTCACGTGACAATAGATAAGAAAACTATTATCTTTTTCGTGGGTTTTTAGTAAAATTATGAATATTTTTTGTAAAAATAGTAAAAACCCCTGCCAATATTCATTCTAAACACAGATGCTAACGTTTGGTACTATATTTTTAATACTGTCAAATACCCGATTAAATAAGGGGTCACAATTCACAAAATTATGATCCTTTAAGGCATAGTGGATAGACTGTATTTTCCCTGTCCAACTGCTATGATAAACTGGACAGAGGAAGTGTGTTAAATTAAATAATATTATATGTTTGATAATCAATTTAAAAGTATTTTATATAAATATACATAATGGATGGCGCAAGTGGTTAGCGCGTTCGGCTGCGATCATTAAAGTTAAGCAACTTTCGCAGCGGTCGGTCATTGGATGGGTGACCAAAAATTTACTATCTTGTGCTCTTCCGTGCTTCGGAAGGCACGTAAAGCCATTGGTCCCGGCGGCAACTGCAGTCGTTAGCCCCGCCAATCCGCACGTCGCGGGTCATGGCCCAATCTCCCTATTCCTCCCAAAGAGAAGGCCTGTGCCCCAGCAGTGGGACATCAATAGGCTGATGATGATGATCATACATAATGGACACCCTTGAGCCATGAACCGCACGGGGTAGTATTTGACGATATTTAAATTAATTGAATTGTATTAATTAAATACAAAAAAAATATAATCATTTATTTTCAATCTTTATATTTCGATATACAAATATATTGAACAAAGTAGTGTTAGATACACCGCTTAAAACTCAAGAACGGCTGGACCGACTTTAATGAGCTCTGATTTTTTGGATTAAAAGATCGTTCCATTTTGTAAAAATATATTATCGTAGAAAATGGACTGGATGGAATGGTTAGCATAGAGAATGGAATGGATAGCATAGAGAATGGACTGAATGGAATGGATAGCATAGAGAATAGACTGGATGGAATGGATAGCATAGAGAATGGACTGGATGGAATGGATAGCATAGAGAATGGACTGGATGGAATGGATAGCATACAGAATGGACTGGATGGAATGGATAGCATAGAGAATGGACTGGATGAATCGGAAAGCATAGAGAATTGACTGGATGGAATAGATAGCATAGAGAATGGACTGGATGAAATGGATAGCATAGAGAATGGAATGGATGAAATGGATAGCATAGAGAATGGACTGGATGGAATGGATAGGAACTAATAACGAATGACAACTGCTTGATGTTTTAATTCTGGGGGTTGATTGGGGGGTTGGATTTGATGTTTTATTTTTTTAGGGGAGGGGGGTGCAAATGTCCTGGAATTGATAAGCCAGCATCTGGCAATCCTAGGTAACTTCTATCTACCTTATCGGAGGTGGTGTTTATTTTATCTGGTGGGTAGTTTAATGGGAGTATCGCTTTTGTCTCTTTCACAATAACTTTTGTTTAATATGCAGTTGGGTAGGGAACACACTGTCTATTGTCTAGGTTACCTACCCTTAGATTAAAACAAAAAGGGAAGATACGGTACGCTCATACTAGCATCAAATAAAATATGATCCGACTCAACTACATAAGCAACTCTCGCACACGCACACGTCTGTAAATAAACATTCAATCGAGCGAGCGAAACGGCGAGTCCGCGTCGCTTGGCTTGGCGACTGCGAATTCTTTTCTCTCTCTACAAACGGCTGAGATGTATTGTTGCCCTTTACTTGATAACAAACGGCGAAAAAGTAAATAAAATTCATGACAAACCGTGATTATTGAGCAAAAAACATGTTTTCATAGTTTTACCAATGAAAAGCGTTGCCGTGAAATTAGTTATTTGATCTTGAACTATTTGTGTTCTTTACAAAAGCATCGTAGGCATTTTTTTATCTTTATAACACAAAATATACGCAATATTGTTATATTGAGTGCACATGCAGCGTGTTTGAATGTCTAATTCTGACTAAAGCGAATTGTGGTCATGTACCACAATTTAAGAGGATCACTTTTGAGCCGCGAGTGCCGTATCTTCCCTTTTTGTTTTAATCTAAGTACCTACCTTATCGGAGGAGGTGCCGTCGGGCGGATGGTTGCGGCCGTCACCTGAGGCGGGGGTGGCCGCGGCGCCGGGCGAGCGCGGCGGGGGGGTGAGGGTAGGTTCGCCTGGGGGGGGACAACCGAATTAAATCTAATATATAAAATTCTCGTGTCACGGTGTGCGTAATTGAACTACTCCGAAATGGCTCGACCGATTTTCGTGTAATGTTATATGCATACTAGCGGCCCGCCCTCGCTTCGGTGTTGAGCTGAAGTGTAGACTACAGTTTTTGTTCTCAGGCTTGTATTATACACAATGACATTCATCTATGATTCTTCTTATACCTGCATGCAAAGTCTCAGCCCGATAGGTTTAAAATTGACAAAGTTTCATTCCCTATTTTATCCCCTTGGGGGTAGAATTGATCAAAATCCTTTCTTAGCGGATGCCTACGTCATACCATCTACCTGCATGCCAAATTTCAGCCCGATCCGTCCAGTGGTTTGGGCTGTGCGTTGAGAGATCACTATGTCAGTCAGTCAGTCACCTTTGAGTTTTATGTATATAGATTTAATAGGTCTGAGAATCGGACATCTATTTATCATCCCCCTAAATTTTAAGGGTGGTTCACCCTTTAATATACTTTTCGACTAAATATTTCGTTTTTATTTTTTTATGATAGGTAAATCATACAAAAATACATTTAACCCTAAATTTTTACCCTTCTACCATCAACCCCTATTTTTTATGGCGGTACGAAGTTCGCTGGGACAGCTAGTCATATATAAATTCACTTCCGGACACATCGTTGGTTGATTGGATATTATCTATAAGGTGGAAATGTAATGGGGGCGAACCGACGACATCGGTTCCCTAACGATATAAAATACCCTGGATACAACAACACGAACAAAATCGTGGCCGAAACTCGTCCAAAAGGTACATTGGACGATCCACGGAGCTCCGTAAGATAATCGCGTAGTCAAAAACAATATAGGGCATTACTTAAACATTGAAAGTCACCTTTAATGGATACTATATAAGGTCTTAATTAAAAGGCTTGCGTCAAAACGTTATGACAGTTCGAAATACAAGTTCGTAAAATTTTACGACTTATTGCTATATGCGGAAGAATATAATTATGTAAACCTTATTTCTTTGACTCTACGCACAATACTTAATGCGCTGTTAGCAATATAGCATGTACTGTTAGCAATATAGCCGCGAGGAAAAGAGATGGCTATATAACCAGCTATCTTTTAAATATCTCAAATATTTTTTATTAAATCAGTTTATAGTAAATATTAGAACAAAATTAAATTCAAATGCGTTAAATTAACAAACATTGATTACATACCTGTCGAAAAAACGACACTTTACGTATTATAAGATTTTTTTACGAAGCTCTCTCGCATGACTGTGATCCAAGAAGTGCTTGAGTAGAGTTTAGGCACTTCTTAATTAGGACACATTTTGAGCGCTCATGGTGTATCTAGGGTATTTAATATCGTTGCGGTTCTCGTGCAAACGATCTGAGATCACACTTTCTAACCTCTTCAAAAACTAAAAGTTATACAGAAGTTGAATTATTTATTTAGTGGGGTTATAGGTATGTAAAATGTAAACTCTCGATACAAAATGTCGTGGGGTATAAAATACAATAGTAACTCGTTAAGTCCTCTCTACACACATAGGTACTACGACACACTATACATGTATACACGCACACTAATATAGATAGATAGATAGATAGATAATGCGTTTATTTATTTTCTTCAACATACATATACATTTACAGACAGAGTAATACAATAAAAAAAAGATACAAGAAATCAGCTATGAAATATCTATATGTATGCTGCAGAAAGCAAAAGGCCAAGGCTCGGCTAAACATTTGCCAGTTTTAAGGCAAAATACCGATTTTCAGCCATCACCTTACACACACACACACACGCACATTCACAACACACGTTCGCAGCGTAATATTACCCAAACGAAATTTATAAACTGTTAAATATATAACGAAAAAAAATGTTTATACCCTCAAAAAAAACGGAGAATGTAATCTTTGTTAGTTTATGTTATTGTTTTGAAAACATTTTGAAAAAAAAAATACTTTAACAATATATTAATGTAATCCATTATTATTATAAATACATATATGGCGGATTGTTAATTGGCCTATTGCAGGGTAGGCGAACCTTTATGAATCAACGTGCCATTTTTTCTAAAAAATCTTTAATTGGGTCATTGGCATGCCATCAAATAATTTTGACTTTATGATTATTTAGAAGATAATAATATAAATACTATCAGAAATCTTTATGAAATAAAGTAAACCAAAGAGACACATTCTGGAATGTTTTTATTACACGCATAAATTAGATTACTGTAAAATTAGTGTGACTTCTGTTGCTGCAGGTTTGATAACAAATAATTTATGTTAGGGTTGTAAGATGCTACTTTTAGCAAAATGCATGCTGAACTGGATTCATCTGTCAAACGGTTTCTAAACGAGTTTTTAATGTTATTCATCTCTGAAAACAATGACTCGCAGGCATAGGTAGATGAAAACATTGTTAAAATAGCATGTGCTAACTTCTTCAAACAGTTACTTCGTAGCGTAGGATCACTCGCGTTCGATCGTCATAAAATACCTACTTAAATCATTTTTTACACATGTTTTATGATTGGCGACGTGCCCAAAATATTGTGTCGCGTGCCATCAGTGGCACGCGTGCCATTGGTTCGCCTACCCTGGCCTATTGTAACCAAGCTATGGAAGAGCGGTGCATCCTAACACAAGCAATTTTACTGCTTAAAAGGATGTACCATACTCATACATTGTAGTAGGCTAAGTTACTGAAATAAACTAATTTTCTATTTGTATTTTGTATCTTCATGTGTTCTGTGGTAAGGTCCCTCTCTCACAAGGTGACATTTTTCTTAATTCAAAAATACAATATTGTTTTGCAACTAACCGTAAGTGGGTGGAGTGACGGGAGCAACTGGTGGGAGCACGACGCTCAAAGGCTGATGCTGCTTCTGAAATAAAATAAATAAATATTAAATCCAAATTAAATAAATAATGCCATCGAGCTCCTCATAATAATGGCGAGCTCGATGGCGCAAGTGGCTAGCGCGTTCGGCTGCGATCGTCGATGATCGATGATAATGACCCTAGTATCCCGTAACACAAGCCTACAGTGCTTACTTTGGGGCTAGGCTAATTGGTGTGAGTGTTGGAAATATTTATTCTATGTATTATTATTTACTAACATCAAGTAGGATAGTGACAATTGCACCGACATTTTATATCAAAAGCAGTCGAAAATCGAACTTTATTTTTTTATAGATAGATCCGTCAAATGACTCCACCCCACCTGATGTTAAGTGAAGGTAGATAGCTGATACAGCAGTTCTACCTGCCCCACCAGCCATCCTCACCCTGCCGGCCTGCATGTTGCTTCTTCACGCCTCTTTTAAAGGATCCCAGGTTGTAAGAGGGAGGGAACACGTGAGCGGGCAGAGCATTCCATTTACGGATAGTGCGACAAAGAAACGAGTCACCAAATTTCTTAGTACGCGTTGGAATAGTGGCCACAGATAGTCGGTGACAACGTAGGCCAGCGCGCGTGGTCCTCTGAAGGAAAGGGGAAGGTGGAATAAGAGAGAATAACTCACTCACCTTTCCGATATAATTCGGCGTGGATGTGTGTGTGAACTGTATCTCCGACCTCAGCGCCGGCGACGACGGAGTGGTGGAGGGGGAAGGAGGCTCCACTGCTGGGGAGGAACTCATCGTGAGGATCGTCAAAACATGGCGGACATTAATAGGAGTGGAGCTACCCTCACGCGGTCATTCGATGTCGAGAATTCGAACGCGACGCACGTGCGCGTCCTGTTCGAATTTCGATATCTAAGCTATGAAATCTATGTAAAAGGAATGCAAGAAGGAATTCGAAATTGGAATGGTTCAGAGGGAATTGGGTGAAAGGAAAGTCTTCCCTGTAACAAACAAGTCGATTGGTTACTTTTTTGCATTGCATGTGTGAAGTTTACACTAAAGAAAGAACAATGCTGGTGGCAACACCATCTATCCACTCCCTTGATCCCACTTTTCCAGATTTCCGTCTACCCTTTCCTATTCAGATTTTTTGACATGCAATAAATGATTGAAATTGGTTTTGAATTAAATAGAATTACTATCAAAAACTTTCATAAAACTAATTTACCATCATGGAACTACTGAAATATGTTTATATTTTTATAATTAGTGCATTCATAATTATTTTATAAGACTCGAAACATCACCCGTAAAATGTAATATATACTAGTGCAAATGTACCTACTCGGCCAGCGCCGCACTGTGAGTTTAGGAGGCCCTGGGCTAATACTACTTAGGGGCCCACCTAAACACTCAAAGTATAGAAAATGAGACTATAAAATGTTTAATTTATATTATAATATACTAGCAAACCAGTGAACCAAATGTTCACCAAAACCTGATTTCTCGAAAACCGGAAGTGCTACGTTACTCAAATCCGGTTTGTAGTCTTATCAGACTATTCTTAACTTATAACTTAAATATTCTCTTTATCTATCTCTTACGGTTTGGCCGCTGAAACAGCACCACAGACAGACGGACTTGTCTAATAGATAAGAGATTATGCCTTTGTGTTATACAACCATAAATAAATTGACAAATTAAAACCTTTCCGCACTTACCTTTAGCAAATTCTTTAATTTGCTTCTCACATTCTAGGTTCTTAGTTAATCAACATTTATGGACAAAAAGGATAAATGGTTAAGTCAAACTATACGCAACTATACTATCTTTAATTTAATAAAATCATGGATTCTTTCGCATTATTGTTTATTTTTGACTAAACTTTACATAGCTGGGGGCCCTTGAATCCACGGGGCCCTGAGCTGAAGCCCAATAAGCCATATGGTAGATCCGGCCCTGTACGCGGCGATCAGTAAGGCAATTTTGTAAAAGGGCTCTTAATAATCTATAATTGATAGATTCATTTTTAATGCCCTTGCAAGTCGTATAGAGCACGAGATTTTTTTGTATACTTTCATAAATCCTATCCGACATAATACTAACTTTGAGGAGCTCGATGGCGCAGGTGGTTAGCGCGTTCGGCTGCGATGCTTGAAGTTAAGCAACTTTCGCAGTGGCCGGTCATTGGATGGGTGACCAAAACATCTATCTCGAGTTCTTCCGTGCTTAAGCCGTTGGTCCCGGCTGCATCTGCAGTCGTTAGCACCCGCCAATCCGCACTGAGCCCGCGTGGTGGGTCATGGCCCAATCTCCCTACTCCATCCTAGGGAAGGCCTGTGCCCCAGCAGTGGGGACATTAATAGGCTGATGATGACCTTACTCTACCAATAGCAACACATGTTTTCCGTGACTGTATATATACAGTATCGGTATACCGAATAAACTTTGTTATCTTATCAACACTGGGTCAACCCAAATAAGTTATTTTTAACGGAACGTAGCGCCAATGTGATATGGACCGAAACGACGCGAGCATTATTCTATATATTTTTTGCAATATCGGAGACTCACAAAAAACATGGTAACAATCCCGTTAATAGGTTTAAAGTGAAAAGTATGTTTTAATATCTAAAGAAAAGTTTACTAGAAAAAAATCCACGCGGACCAGGGGGCCATTCGCCTAACGGAAATTCTTTGGAAAACGCAAACGCTTTCGATTTTATTTTGTTATTTCCCACCGCGGAAGGTTTTCAAATACCTCTCTCGCTCATTTTTTTTTAATATTGTTATTACCAATGCAAAAGAAAAAAAAACGCGAGGCATTTGAAAACCTCAGGCGGCTGGAAATAACAAAATGAAATCGTAAGCGTTAGCGTCTTCCAAAGCATTTCCGATAGGCGAATGGCCCCTCCTAAGGTAAACCAGCAGCTATCACGTAAGTTAATCCGACTGCGTAGACAAGCCCTGAAACAAATCGTGGGTATACTCACGGGTCACGGCTACTTCAACAAACACCTTATAATATAGGTATTTCTGACAGCCCTCTGTGCAGAGCCTGCTTGGAGGAAGAGGAGACGAGCGCCCATGTTCTGCTGGAGTGCAGAGGCGTTGCAAGACAAAGGACTTCTCTAATGGGAAGCCCGCGGACACTAGTAGAAGCCTGCAGCAACATCCGGGGACTGCTGAGCTTTTTGGAGGAGCTGGGATGGCAGGACTGATGCCAATCCCCACGCAAAATAGGCACTGTGTGTCGAGTTGCGGAAACAGCCCGCCGTTCTACTAAGACTAAGACTAGGCGAATGGCCCCCAGGCAGCAGACGGGACTCGAACCCGCACCCTTCGAGGATCACCGCGGGCTACGCGTTTAGATGTTTATCTAGCAGTTAAATACTTAAAAAAAACGAGCGAGCCTTACAGTAGTCCCGTATGATGTGTAACATTTGAAACCTCACCTTATATTAGTAAAAAAAGAAATAAAACCTACTACAAAAGGACTACATTTAAACATTATTTTCTAGAATCAAATAGAATAGCGCGCGCTTTCGCGACTTCCTATTACACACTTCCGTTCCATTTCACGAAATCACTCCCACAAATTGCAGGAAAGCGAGAGGAAAGATGTTACACATCAAAAATAAAAACATAACAAGGTATAATAAAACTAGTTTTTACGGGTTAATGCACGAAACTAGTTTCCTTGCGCGCATTGTCTTCAGACCTTCCAATCGGCGAATCTTATTAGCAGTTTCCAGCCCGTACTGGTAAGCATATTTGTTTCTTAGGTTTTCACGCACAGCACTCATTAAATAAAACTACCTACCTAAGAAACAAATATAACAAGATATCGAGCCCTTACCGCCAAATTATCGTAAGCGACACTTTTGTCGAAATGCGTTTTTTGTGGAAACTAATATTTTAAACCGTACCGGACCCATCTCTGTTGATATTTCCCTCCAAAAGAACACCGTAATAATATAATAGAGGGAAGAATAGAGGGAAATATCAACAGAGATGGGTCCGTTACGGTTAAAAATATTAGTTTCCACAAAAAACGCAATTCGACAAAAGTGTCGCTTACGATAATTTGGCGAGTGTCGCTTACGATAATTTGGCGAGTGTCGCTTACGATAATTTGGCGGTAAGGGCTCGATATGTTTTAAGATTAGCACGTTAGACCTGCCATCGTAGACGTTTACTTTATGAAGTCACATCTTTACTCCAACTTTTATAACTTTTATCTATAAAAAATCCCTCAAGTCTCATCTCCAAACCCTCTACTCTAGTGGCATTCGAGTGACTAGGTCTTAACACAGTCGAGTAACTCGAATGACAAAAATCATTTGAGTACCAATGAAGATAAAAATCGAGTGACTTTCTACCATATTTATGTCTCTTACTGGTACATTGCAATTTACCATTTATATAATCTGATAAAAATCTGAATTGACTTTTAGCGAAATCACGATTTTAAAATCGATTAATCAATAAAGTTGTTTTAATACCTGGCAACATCATACCCATCGAGAACAACGTCTAAAAAAAATATGTCAAGCGGAGATTGAAATTGGGCAAATATCTAATTAATTATATCTTAATACCCAGGGTGAAAGAAATTACGATATGAATGTCACGAGCATAAAAAAATTAATCCGATTTTTAGGTACCTATTTGAATGAGGCACAAGATACCTCAAAAGAGACCTATGTTTCGCCAGCAGTGTTTCCGGACCAATACGACCCAAGAACCTTCAAAAAAAGAGCGTACTCCTTCCTTAAAGGCCGGCATCGCATTTGTGATACTCCTGGTGTTGTAAGTGTCCATGGGCGACGGTGATCACTTACCATCAGGTGAGCCGTCTGCTCGTATGCCCCCTATAACATAAAAAAAAATGTTTGGGCGTTCTCCTTTGACATTGACATTTCGGTTTGCAAACTATTCATTCGATAATGGTTCGTGCTAGGAGTACTGTACCCCTTGGAAACTTGAACAGCAGCGGCACAAAGTACGTAACGAGAACTAGAAATCAGTACACTTTTGACAATGACATTTCGGACTCGCAAACGTTACGAATTCGATTTTGGTTCGTGCTAAGGGTACTGGTGAGACAAAAAACGGTAGCCCTCATTGTGCAGTTTTTCACCTTAGAATAATAACGTTTAAACAGTTACCTACTTACCTAAATGTTAAAGAACACATATAAATAAGTCACGTAAAAATAGAAAAATAAAACAAAAATAAAACCTGTTCATTTTACTGCTCCAAGGCTACATTAATATACTTACATCATTTGAATTACGCAAATCATTGACGCAAGCTTTTGTTCATATAGTACTAGCTGTGCCCCGCGGTGTTACCCGCGGTTTTTAGACGTATATTAAGGCTGAGCGCAGATTAGAGTCACGACAGTTGTTAGACAATCTTGTCTTACATAGACGAGACAGCTTTACAATTAAAAAGAAACAGTTGTGTCTACCACAAGGCGCACACCAAGACGAAACTGTTTCGTCTACGATGCGACACACACCATTTTCATCAGTATCAGAATAGATTTCACCGATTATTTATTTTATAGAAATTAAGGCACCAGCCCAGAAAGTTTTACCAGTAATTTCGAATGAATGTATCAATCTATCTTTGATAATTTGTCAAAATTTATGGACCCACATATTACTTATTTTATCGTATGTATTATACTTTCTTTCGGTATCGATTATCATCCCTAATCGCTAGACAATTTTGTCGTTGGTGTGCGCCCTCGCATACATTACAAAGGGAAGCGGACAGTCGTTAGTCAGACTTGTCGCTTTGCAGTTCTTGTGTACATAAGACTTTTTTGTCTATGAGACGTCTCGTTTCGAATGTGCGCCGCATCTTCATAATTTTTGTTAAGCAATAGTCTGTCTTGAGACTGTTGTGACTCTAATCTGCGCTCAGCCTAAGCTAGCAGACCATGGTCACAACGCGCACATCTAACCTACTGGGTATTTAGTTGCTAATT